GATCTCAAGGCAGTGGAAATTACCAAAAGGAATTTTCTCACCTCAACACCTTTTTCATGCTACAAAAATGAATATGGTAGTAAAGTATGTGTGTGTGCAGGTGTCCATATCTCTTTAGCTCTTCCCACTCGCCACAGCTGCTATGAGTGTGTTGCATGTGTGTCTTTACATTTTCATATTTCCTTGGGTGGTTTTCACACATGCTCATTATAACCACACTATTAACTCTTGTGGCATGACCAAATGTTCATATCTTTGTCAGATGGTGTCCACACATCACCATCCATTGGCACACACACACACTTATATCGACGTCACTGGAATTTAAATGCAATCAACTGCTTCCATCTTCTGTTTTTCTTTTCCGTTGTTTTTAACTCATCGGCCCCCCGAGTTTTTGTTAAGGCAGGGAACACATCATAATTGTTTGGCTGGTTATACTTTTAGCATCAAAGCTAAATAGAAGGGCTGTGTATTCGCATCATCATGGTATAGGGGTCACTCTGACTACATTGTATGTAGCTTGATGCACGAAATGTGGATCAACAAGTATGTACAGCGTGAGCAACATATGCTGAGCGAACAAGCTAATTGGCGTATAAGTTAGTAACGCTATGGCTAGTGCAAATGAAACTCTGGAGCCGGAAGACCCACCTACCTTCTTTTAATCAGTTGTTTAGGAACAATTCACTGAAAAGAACTGTGTACTTTTTTCCCTGCTGTGCCAAACTCCCACCGAACCAAAACCTCTAAACCGAAGTATGAACGAATCATGACTTCTGTGTACCGTTACACCCCTACTAAAAAAAGCTGGATTGAGTCCATCCCAGTCAGTGAGTGGTGAGAATATGTGTTATGGAGGGATTTCAAGGTGCCTAGCAATGCAACTCTTAAGTGCAACGCTGCAGGACTTAGTATTGTATCAGGGTATAATGGCTGAGTTGGATCTTGGATGTGAATGTGATTTAATTGCTGTTTTTCTGGAGAGTTGACGTGTTGATGCTGGGATGTGGGAGAGTGGCGTGTCTTGTGGGCTTTCATGGAAAACAATAAGAACCAATGTTTTGATGGCCGTCATACACCGTATTCCTTAAATACCGGTTGTCCAGTGTGTTGTCCTATGTTTATGTTGGTGGAAAGATGCATTGTATGTTGGTGTCTAGTCTTCACATGACCGATATTCTCAATGTGCGTTAAAAGCTTTAAATGGACGTTAGTGCTGTGTGGATGCCTGCAAAGGGATGCGTTGGTGCTCACGTCACAATCAGTAGTGAACGGGGAAGTATCATCGAGTATAGGGCCCCTTCTGATACGATGATTGCAGATTCTCACCACTTCAGCCCCACCATGTAATTACTTTCAAATGCACAGGCGGTTTCAGCCACCAGCTAGCTGATGACAGGGAACACCACAGGGCATCACTTGGCATGGCACCGTGCAGCTTTCTCTCCTCTCCCTCACCTCCTCCCACCGCCGTCACCCTCATCAGTCACTGCCAACAGTCCTTTTTGATTTGTTTTTGAAAGCATCTACATGCCTCACAGGGAATATTTAGTATTTCCTTTTCCATATTCAGTTCCCATGTCTTCTCACCCCATGAATGATTAATTTTTTTTCCTTATCTCACTTGTCTTGACTTGTTAACCATGTGATGTTTGAATAGTGTGATTTATGAGGCTGACATGGCTGGGCATCTTTGTTGAATTTATTATCATCTGAAACAATTAGATTTCAGCCCTCATTCTGAGTTGTTTTAAAGGGTGACCATTCAGTGTAACACCAATGACAAACCTCAAATGGGTAAGCGCAAGTTCCACTTTGGTAAATTTTGCGACACAAATTTGCACCATTGACCACTAACAAGCCATCTATACAGTGGTACAGTGATACTTCTAGGGAACAAAGAGCTGGGGAGTCAAAAACGAACCAAGCGTATTAGCTATGTTGCAGCATTCACTTTTATTTAGGCTCCTGTCAAAATAACCATCCACGTAAGAGGGTAGTACAAATACGTTTTAATAATAAACTGCTTTCTAACTGACATGTAGCAAGTGCAACTGACATAGTATAGCATAGTTCATTGACCAACATGTTCATGACTTGCTAGCGTGTTAGCTGTTACCTTCTTAACTACAGTAACAAACCCTGTGAGTATTACCTAATATCACCAAGACTCTAACACCTCATATTTCCCCAGGATGCACAGACAATTTTTAGTTTGAGCCAGCCATAACTGTTAAAATGAGGTTGGTGAAGGTGGAAATAAAAATACTGCTGCACTTAATTTCTTCTGTTGATTTTACTCATGAATGATGCACATCTAATTCATTTTAACCAGTGCCCATTGAGGGGCTGACAGTGGCTTCCTTACTTATCTTTTTCTCTTACTGTTTAATCATTATGTTGTGTCATTTATCCACTGTCATTGTAGTAAAAACTAGATAGATAGTTTTTTCAAATCCTGAAAAAAAAAATCCAGATTTTCTTTAAGGCACTGGTAATACCCATGTTTGTTGCTCTAAGTATGCAGACACACAAACACGCATCATACCCCCCAATAGTCCCTGAGGTCGTCATGCCACTCCTGACAAATAGAGCTGACCGAAGGTTGCGTTGCTGCGGTGATACTTCTCATTTCTTTCTTCTCATCATGGTGACCTCGAGCGAGCACCAGACACATCGCCACAGAGATGGATCTGTTTACACTGAAAGTGTGATTTGTTCCAGTATGTGGCTCTGATTAGAGGACACTGCCTTGCCACACCTTGATATAGTTGCTAAGGGATCATCAGTGGTGCCAGACCTGCCCATTTGGGTCTGTGTGTTCATGTGTGTGATGTGTGTCTGCATCCAAATTCCTGTGGGAAACTATAATGGGTTTGTCAATTTTAAAGACACAGTGAGTAAGGAACCACTCGCCGTCATTTATTTTGTCTCTCTCTGGGTTGGTGACTGCAATGCCTTCCTGCAGTCACAGCTGATTGGCAAATGAAATACTGAACATGCTTTTTCCTTGTTAGTTCACTGTTCAGTGCGAGCAGTAAGGGGGGAAAAATACCAATGGTTCCTGTATGAGGTCTTGTTACCCTGAGACTTCTTGTTACTGATGTCTCGGAAACCAGCAGGACTAATCCATTAAGGGCCATCCTCGGGGAGCAGAGGGATCAGGCCTGAACAAATTGTCACCACTTATCATTGGGACACGCTTCCCTCTACAGTACACCAGGGAGCCATTTAAGGCCAGGCCTAAACTCTCTCTTTATCCTACAAGACGTGGAAATAGAGCCTTGGTAAAGGAGAGGGTTGTGAGGAGGCGAAGGAGTGAGGAGCCAGAGGGAGCGTGAGAGCCACAGGGCAGTGAACAGAGAAAATGAGGGAGAAGTGGGTGGGTGAGAGATATTTTTCTAGACTTCATGGCTGGACATTGCTTATTTACTTCGTTAAAATAGTACACGGATTTTTTTCTTGGTGGAACATTTATCAAAACAGGCTAGTACTCTCTGTACAAAAGTTTCCTGGGTTCTCAGAAATTTCATTATTTGGCATGTGAGTGGTAATATAATTGTTTAAAGACACTTTTTATGATATTAAAGCACCAGTGTGTACAGATTTAGTGGAACCTGTACATTTTTGATGTCAGTGTTTGTTTTTATTTCTTTCTCTTGATTGTGATTTTCTCTACCTGCTCTGGTCTGTGCAGCACTGAGGTCAACAAAGGTTGTTTTGTTGTTATAAATAAATTATATTTGGTTTAACATGGCAAACTCTGTAAAAGAGGACCGGCTCCCCTGGTAGATAAAAAAAAGTTCATTCTAAGGTAACGAAAACACAATGAACACATAGCTATGAAAATTATATTCCATTTCTACCAATAGATCCTAAATGAAGGTGTGCGACAGATGTTGGATTAGTAGCTTGATGCTGGTTGGAGCTGCGGCTCTAGGTATCGAGTGGCCTGCGGAGGCTGTACGGCAGGGGTGTAATGGGTGTCTGTGTGTCCTGATTTGATTGTAGGAGTCTTCTGTTGTTGAGCCAGATGCGTCAGTCAAGTGCTAAGGGTTAAATTAAATTCACCCCCCCCCCCCGCCATGCTTCTCTTCCTGCTGAGTTGTCAATTTAATTTTCCAACTGAGTTACGAGTACAGGTGCTTCACACTAACTCGCCATAACTCACTTTTAACCATGCAGCTTCTAGTTGTCTGTCAAGTATGACTCATGCCTCAGCAAAACCCCGGACCTCCTGCCTGCCCCCTGTCTCGCCCTGATGTTTCTTTTTCTTTTTTCTTTTGTTCTTTGTTGTTTCTTTAATCCAGTTGCTCTCACAAAAGCACACACACAAATTGATGGGGGAATCTACACACACACGCAAGTATGAGTCATGCACAGCATCACTTTGACATGCAGCCCACTCTCCCGGGCAGAGCGCTGCCTTTTTCGATCAAACTAGATTGTTGAAGCATTAAGCCAGTAAGAGCTCCGGCAGACAAACAGGTAAACAAAACGTTTACTCTATGTCTGTCCCCTGAGTACCCGGAAGATGATTTTGTCTTATTCCTGAAATATCAAATTGAATCATTCTCTTTTTGCCTTCCTCTCACCCCTCTCTCCTCTTCTTTTGCTCACTTACCACCTTTGTAGATTTTAGCGTGTGTGTGTGTGTGTGTGTGTGTGTGTGTGTGTTTTAAAAACAAAAAAAGGAAACTAAAAACATCTCATCAGAGCAGATTGACGTCAGTTTCAATATCTGTGAGGAGGCCTCCTTTCAGCCATCAATGTCAGTAGTCTAATACTGGCAAATCTGTGTGTGTGTGTGTGTGTGTGTGTGTGTGTCAAGCAGGGTGTCTCCTTCTTCAGAATTGCTTTTTCCGAGTAAATGGTTTTTGAAAAACCTTGACATTTTGAGCTTGTGTGATTTTTGTGATTTTTTTTACTTCTGTACGAATATGACTCATTTAATATAACTGTGTGTGTGTGTGTGTGTGTGCACGTGTGCATTCCAGCTACCATCATTTTGAATGAGCTAAATTGGACAGAGGCCTTGGAGGAGGTTTTCCGGAAAAACAAAGAGGAAGATCCGTCACTCCTCTGGCAGGTGTTTGGCTCTGCCACCGGATTGGCTCGGTACTACCCAGGTGAGCAGCCCAATAGCCAATAGGGTTACTCCAGCGGCCTGCTGACCTTCCTGTGGTCAGTGATGGGGACAAAAATTTCCACCAACGGGCCATTTTATCATGTTGCATGCAAACACAAGCATACACTTTGTCACAACTCTTTCATGTGGCTTTGGAGCCCGAGAAACTACTGGTTCTCTGGCTGCTGGTCGCCAAATCATGGTTCCAGCACTTACCTTCATGTTAAACCACTACTTATATAGAGATATATAGAATATAGATGTAAAACATTAGAGAGTATAGCCACTGATGCACATATTCTGCTAACCCAAGCTGTGAAGTAAACATACTTTCCTCTCTTTATTTTTTTCCCTTTCACAAAATCCCAGCATCCCCTTGGATGAACTCGAGCAATTCAGCCAATAAGATCGACCTCTACGATGTACGCAGGCGACCATGGTGAGTCTAGACGCTCATTATGGGATGTGCAGTTTTGACTCTTATCATCTCATTGTCAGTAATTTCTCTAGTGTTTTTCAGGGGGGGACACGTGGCTCATTCAATCTGCCTGTGTAATTGTCATATTAAACATTCATTTGCAAAAAACTTATTTGCATGTTGCATAAACATGATTACACATAAGAGCATCTGCACACACAGTTTAAAACAATCAAATCCAGGTATCTGACCAAAGCCAAACCGACTCAAACAAACACATCAGAGCACTATGATGATTAAGCCACTGCAGATCAAAGGGTACCAATACAAAAGCTTCATTAGTCTCCTAAAAATGATTAAAATCTGGCTGGAAGCCACCAGTACACTTTTAACCATGTTATTAAATTTCATTAGCCTCAAAAGCCCCATCGGCTACTGAGCACTCAAACTCTGAACAAAGACACAACTGTTTGTTTATTAAAGAAATGGGAGAAGAGAGCTAATTAAAGAATACAAAGGCCTGATTGATTTCAAATGCAAATGATAGGGAGTGATATTTGTTTACTTGCTCAAAGCGAGACGGGAGTGATGAGACTGCAAAATATACTGTCTCATAACTGTTATGTGCGCTGAAGACTTTGTGTTGTGTAGATTCCTTATAAATTTGATTTAAAAAGCATTTCTGCGTTATGATAATTGCCTCTGTCTGTGTGTGTGTTTGTATGTATGTACATCTCTTTACGTGCCTCACGACCTTTGTGTGTGTGTCCGTTATTACTCACCAGGTACATTCAGGGGGCGGCGTCACCCAAGGACATGCTGATCCTGGTGGATGCGTGAGTGACCACCTTATGATTCATCTATTACAGTCATATTTTATTTTCTTTTGCGCGCCAGAAGGCCCCAATGCTAACTCGCTGACTGGCCTCACCCCGCTGGGCGCTACTGTGCTCTGCTCATGGCTGACTTGGCACTCGTGCGACAATGACGAACAAAAAGCAGTCGGTGTATCGAGCGACTTCATCATTCACAGTCCAGTTGTTTCTTCCTGTGATTTATGCCTTAAAAGTTTAGGTTTAGAAGAGCTAAGATATTCAGAGAGGATTCAATATCTGTCTTACGATGGCAGCTTACTCTTTGATCAAATGATAGAACTACAGATCGCTTTTAAGAAACATGGACATTTCACATCGATTTCAAAATTAAGTGAAGGGTGTTTTTTCTCTGTAATTACGAGTTAAAACCCTTTTCCAATTTAGGATATATGGATCGCATAAACATACATATGTATCCACAAGTGCATAGTTTACATCCTAATAAGTAGCATCAGATAGTGTTTTGTGTAGAAAGAGGGTAGTCGTGGTGGTATTCTTGCAGCGTCGAAGTGATTTCTCCGAATTCTTACACTCAGGGGGAGTTTCATGACAAATAGCACTCATGGCACAGCACCAGGTCTAAATGACAACACAATATGATGAATGAAAACTACATGTGTCCACTTTCAGCTCTTAACACAGCTCTGGTAATTGGGACACAGAGGATTGATGAGGCTTGTTAGACATTAAAAGCTTTGGTGAAAAGAATATTCAAGAAACTCCACTCCTCGTTTTTCCAGTGTCTGCCCTTTTTCTATTCTTTTACCTGCAGGAACCAAGTAAGTGGTGTATTTATAGATGCATCAGTGCAGGATATGCAGTGCAATATAGAAAACTATCTGAGTAGTCTAAACTTGACGCTGAATGCTGAACACTAAGATTATTATTCATGTTATGCTTGTTTGTGTGCAAGTCATTAGCTGAGACATGGTGATGGCTCTCAGCTCGTGTCATTAATGAAGATTACGAATGATAGAATTTTTGTTAATGTGATGGAAAATGCTTTATTTATATAGCATGCTTTTTAATGGAAGAAGCTTGCAGTCATGGGGTTTGATTTCTCTGCTCTTTGCTCATGAATAGTTGTTTTGCCCTGAAGGCTTTGAAGATGGCAATGTCAGTTGCTACTGATCCCTTCTTCAGCGCTCTGATCAGGAAAAAGGTCCATACACAAAATATCAAAGGGCAAAATGAGATTTTTTTTTAGGTTTATTTATCCATCTTTCAAGTTTCTTATTAGGCTGTGGTGGTAACAGGGAAGCAGAGGAACACTGACATAAACTTACAGAAAATCAGCTGAATTACCCAGATTGATTTAGATTAGAAACGAGAGCACAAGTGGAGCAAGCGGGAAGAGGTGCAGTTAAAGAGTTATGTGCCTATGTTGTGTGAGGTTTAATAAAACGCATAGGGCTAGTGTTGTTGTATGATATTGATTTACGTTGAAAAAAACGACCATCTTTGTTCCAAACTGCAGGAGTGGCAGCGTTTCGGGTCTAACCCTCAAACTCATCCGAACATCCGTCAGCAAGATGCTGGAGACCCTCTCTGACGATGACTACGTGAACGTGGTCTATGTGAGTACTCACACATCAGCTAATACTTTCATTTCAACACCAATAGAAATAAATGTGGCTTATACTACTTTTTGCTTTAGAAATACTCACCTTTCACTTCAAGTTAACAAAGTATTTATTTTATTCTATTTATTTGCAAATTCCTATCCAGTGACCTTTTGAGTGACTTAATGTGCCATACATGGATGAATCTTTATTGTGGCTGCATATGTACATGGATGCATGCATGTTCTCATTTGTCTGACTCAACGTATCTTTGTGTGTGTGTATATTTATATATATATAT